GGGGTCAGAAGATCGCTGGGGCTTATCACCTCCCCCGGACTAAAATCCTGACTGTCCTCAGTCTCGACGTTCCGACCTGCGAGATAAAAGAGCAGTCCCAACACCCTCGGAGTTGATCATCCGCTACTATGTCCAGTTTCTCCAACCAGCCCTCCGCGTCCTCCTCCTTTACCGATGCGCTCCGGAGTATAGCGGCGCGCCATGCCAATGGAGAGGCTGTCCCGGTCCTCGTAGTAGAGGCGGCTCTTCGAATGGTAAGTCCAGCAATTTGCGCCATTTTTCTCCTGTCAGACGCTAAGTGGCGGACTGCAGCTGCTTTTCGTGGAACAGGATAATGACCCCGCCACCGCCCGTATGATTGCTACGCTTACTGCGCAACTGGAGCTCCCTCCGCCCATTGTACACGAGCTGCGACGTCTCTCGCGGGACGCGACTCATCGACTGCACGGTTTTCCCTTCGATACGACATTCCCGGCCGCTCCGGCGACGACAACGACCACTCCGGCGGCGGATCCGTCTGCGACGACCATTCCTGTTGTTGGGAAAACACGCAGTGGTACCAAACGTGCTCACGCGGAGCCGGCCACGACTACGCAATCCACTGCGGAGGATTCCCGACCTCAGCCCCGTCGTCGCGGTCGTCCCAAGGGTACAGGCAAAGTGACCTACGAGGCGGCGGAAGTTGCGGTACGTTCCCGATTGAATTCGCCTCATTTAACCGTGGAGGGATTTACTCCTTCCCTAGTGCCGGGGTTGTACAGCGCGGAATATACAGTGCCATGCTCCGGTGTCCGGTAACGCGGAGGCGTGCCAGGAGTGCGCGCAGAGGAAGACTCGGTGCAGCTTTGCGGATGAAAAGGGTATGCAAGTGGAGAGTACTGGGGAGTCGGAGGAAATAAGCGAGGTGGTAACGACCGGACCGCAGGGGAGCCCTAAGAAACCTCGCCTGCGTCTGGATAGTGTAACCAGTAAGCCTTTAGCAACCTTTTTCGTGTCGATGGCTGATCTTATACTGGTCCCAGAAGTCGACGTCCCTCCCCGCCCTCGTCCCAAGGGGAAGGGCAAGGCCACTGCGCCAGCCGATGTGCCTCCCGTCGCGCAAGGTCCTTCCGTGGCTCATTCATCCAATCCGCCACCGGTCGCGCCTAGTCCCGCCGTATCCCTTCTTGAGCTCGGTCCGGAGGTATTTCCTGTCTCTCGTACGCCCAGCTCCGACCACTCGCTGCTCTCGCTGCTTCCTCGTACTGACCAGTCGGCGGAGCAAATATCTCGGCTCGCGCGATCCGTCATTGAGCTGCGGGAGCAGTCACTTGCTATGCGGGAGAGCTCCTTGAGGCTGCGCGAAGAGACGGCGGAATTGCGGCGCGGAGTGGATGATGTGCGGAGGCAGCAGCTAGAGCTCCGCGGCGCTGTCGAGGAGGTACGCGAGGAGATTCGTCGACTCCGCACTGAGCAAGGTAATGTGGTGATGGATCTGGGACTCTTGCGCTCCCATTCGCAGGTTTCGTTCCGGACCCTGCAAGAGGAGACGCAAGGGTTAGATCGCCGCCTTGCTGTTGTGGAGGAGAGTCTTGGCCTGTCCGAGCGGCCGCCTGGCACTGAAGGGAGTCCTGAAGTCGAGGAGGATGCCCATGGCTCGACTCCGGGGTCCTCCGCGTCGTAACTGATTTGTCTCCGGTAATGCCTCTCCGCGTCCACTTTGCGTGCGCTGTACAATGTAATAACTTGTTGTGGCTGGCCTTTGTCATTCCTGCGTCCTTGCGAAATGTACTTGTATTTGGCTCCGGCGTTGTACCCGTCTTTTGTATTGTCCGAAATAAAATATGATCTCGTCTGTCCATATATAAAGTGAGCGGAGTAAAGAATAAATTCGAAATAATAGTTCGATATGAGAAGAAACGCTTTAAAAGATTTTTGTTGTTTATGTGGTGAGATCCAGTAAAACGAGCGTTTGAAACAAAAAAAAAAAAGAAAAAAAAAAAATCACATAGCTTGGTAACCCGGTTCGAGAACATTGGCTGATTGTCTAAAGCAGTTAAAAAGCGGAATAAATAGAGCGAGTAAAATGCGAAAAACATTTGGGTATATGGGGCACACCATTCCTCCCCCGCACTAAAATCGGAACTGTCCGCAGTTCCTCCTATGAGTTGTCGCCATCCCCTGAGTCTTCGTCATCTTCATCGTCGCCATGATCGTCCTGCTCTTCCATCCTGTGAACCTGTTCTTCTCCGACATCGGTAAAGTCCGCTGGGAGGGTAATAGATTTTCGTGCCAGGTAGGGAATAACTCGGAATGCGGCGAAGGGTCGGTCGAAGAGCGTACCATCCAATTCAGCGAGGATATAAGCTCCACCACGGTTCCTGGACACTGTAATAAGTGGTCCGAGGTACCTGGGCCGCATTTTACGGTTGAGGGATTTTTCTATCTTCGTATTACGAACCAGGACCAAATCGCCGCGCTTGAAATTAAAGTCACGGATGGTTGCGGCATGATCACGCTCGAAGCGCCTTGCTGCCTCGATGCGGTGCTGGAGGACGCGAGAATGGAGTCGTTCAACTTGGGCATCACGTTTCTGCAAGGCTATCGCGCGGCGGACAATTAGGTCTTCGCTGGACAGAATAGACGTCGGAGGAGGTTGAAGATATGTTGCCTCGATAATGTCCAGGGGAATAAGTGGATGTGAGCCAGTGACGGCGAAATAGGGGGAACAGCCCATGCGCCTCCTAATCGTGATCCGTTCGGACCAAATTACGGAGTGAAATACCTGAGACCATCGAGCAGCGTCGCCATCCGCCGCTTTGTAAAGCGCCTGTCTGAAATCAAAGTGTGGTCGTTCCACTACACCATTCGCTCTGGAATTATATCCACTGATCCGGATGTGACGTATGTGGTACCG